ATAAAGGTCATTGAAGAATCACAAAATTCTAGAAATGGCAACTGCTTAATCATTGCATTACCAGAGGTCAATTTACCCAAAGACTCTTGGAACATTTATTCCCCACTCCCCATCTTTTCATCTGTAGACACAATGGCATAAGGAGTCAAATAATGACCACCTTAAAACTATTTCACCACTTTCTATAAATTACAAAATGTTATGAACTTCCAACCCTTCTGTGCATTTTTTTCAGACATTTTCAATGTAAACAAAGACATAAAGACTAAAACAAATCTAGGAAGATGTATATTTCTTTAGTGTATGAAATATAAGCTGATCCAATTCCATTCTTTGAACTTGAAATTGTGTACATGCCTAAAAAACAATTCACCAACAACAATTGCCAAACTCATGGTTAATAGAGCTGTGGGAAGTCAGTAAGATGAGCAGAACAAGACCCTCCAAGCATAGGTCATCTAGTAACAAATGAGAGGTGAATGACAGACTGAAAAACAATTTCTTTAAAAAGGTGGAAATTACAAGCCTGTGTATCACATAGACATAACACTTGTGTGACCACACACAAAATCTGAGATTTCCAAGAATTTTTCCTGGTATGATTCTTAGTAAAACTGAATCATAGGAAAGAATCTTTTTTTACCAAAAAGAAAAAACAACCACTTGTTCACTTAAGTACCCACTAAGAGCCTGTCTACCATGTACCGGGCACTGCAGTGACGGCTGTGAAACTGACAGTCTCCACTGATTCCAGGAGCTTTCCATCAGCAGGCAGTTCCGGGAGAGTGTGGGCTGTAAGAGCACCAGGAGGGTCACCTAACCTAGGCTTGAGCCTCCTTGAATGTGGACTCCTCCAAATTGAGACCTAAAAAATAAGGCGTCAGCTAAGGGAAGATCCTAAGGGTGCTGAGAATAGGGTGGAGGTCCCAGTTTCAAGGGAAAAGAATGTACAAAGTTCTGGAGCAAGAGAGACCAGAGAATGTTAAAAGGATTAAAGATAGTTCAGGTTAGCTGGAGTTTGGGACCCTGTCTCTTTCACCAAGGATAGAATTATAAGTACATTTCTGAGGCAGGTGCAAGCCTGTAGGCAGCTGTTTATAATGACAGGTGGTAAGTGCAAGACCCCAAAAGAACATCTCACCAATCTTTGGGGGACAAAGAAAGCTTCTTTGAGAAACATTCATTCTGCCAGCAGAGGAATAAGTGGGAGTTCCCAGTCACAAAGTGTGAGCTATGAGAGAAGAGCCCCATGGAGGAGGCAAGTAAGAGAGCAGGGCAATATCAGACATCAGAGTAATGAGCGCCTCCTGTGTAGACAAGAAAAAGGACAGCAGGCTGGGATAGAAAAATACACGGGGTCCAGATTAAACAGGGTCTGTGTGTCATGTTAGGGTTTTGGGATTTATCTTAAACCTAAAAGGGCCTTAAACATGGTAGTATCATAGCCACCTTTGCCTTTTATAAAGATGATTCTGAAAGAGAAAAACGTTATAGACAAACATTGAACTCTGGTTAATAATATGCTTGCTTAAATTATATACAAGGAAGTATTCTGATGTCTACGATTTCCTCTGAAATGCATGAAAAACAAGAAGATTGACGGATGACTAGAGAGTTGGATGATTAGCTAGAGGTGTGACAAAGAACACAAAGTAAAATGGTAATGGTACAATCTAAGTGTTGGGTACATGGGGGTCCATTGTAAAATTCTCTCCATTTCCTGATGTTTGAAATTTTTCATAATAAAATACTGGGAAATTAGATTATTCTGGCTGCTGCTTGGATAAAGCTTTGGAAAGCGGCAAGGCAGCCAGTTAGGAGACCGTCACACTAATTAAGGCAGGAGATGATTACGGTCCAGACAATAGGGGGAGAAATAAGTATCAGAGAATTTGAATTCAAAAGGTATTTAGAAATTTAACCACTTTGGTGAGAGGATAGATATGGAGTGAAGGAACAGGTGGGGATAAACAACACTCCTGTTTTACCTGCTCTCAATACAACCCAATTATGAGCTGAGACATGGATGGTCCATAAATTTTGGGGGTGAGAAGGACTCACATGTCCCCTCCAGCTGGCCTCTGTCTTCAGATTCTTACCATGAGATTCCAGGCACTTGTTCTTTGCTTTTTTCAGTCTGATCTCCAATAGTGGGCTTCAGCGCCATGGGCAACCTCATATGTAGGGGGAGAGTGAGAGGATCATGTGCTGTGGTCCCAGACCACGGAGGCTGGTCTGCTGCTCCCCCTGCTCTGCCCACCTCCCCTCCCCAGAACCCTCCGGATGTTCCTGTTGCTCTGCTCTTGACAATTTTAGTGCTCTGTTTTGTTTCTTAGAACAAAATTGTTTGGGATCAGCAGCTTCATCCACAGCCAGCCTTGATCTATCCACTTTCAGTTAGAAAACAGATTTCTCTGCAAGACTCAATCACAATAAGGCACAAATGAGTTTTCCCCCAGGGCTGCACACAGCCTGTCTGGGGAGATGTCACCCTGACGACATCTGAGAGGCAGTCTCCAACCCCCACTGAGCACTGGCTGCAATTTTAGTTCATTTCCTACAGCCTTGTCCTAGAGACCGTTAACAAATTCCTCCTGCTCCTTCCCCACTCCACGTGAAGGACATTTACAGAGGACTTGTTTTTCATTTCAGTAATTACCTCCATGCTTCTTTCTGGAGCCTTGTCCCTGCCATATCATAGCCATCTGAAACTTAACGTTAAACCCAAACTCCCTTACCCCATCAAGCTTTACGGCTTCCTGAGTACAGTTGACCCTTAAACAACACAGGTTTGGATTGTTCAGATCCATGTATACACAGATTTTATTCAATAAATACAATCAGCCCTTCCTATCCTGGGTTTTGTATCCACGGATCCAACCAACCATGGGTCAGAAACTGTATTTTCACATTCCCAACTGAAGATTCCCAAACGCATATGAAAAAACTGTTTTCCATTCATGGTCGGTTAAATCTGAGGATGCGAAGGGCTGAATGTAGTTAAATTTCGGGGGAGTCAAAGTCATATGTGGGCTTTCAACGGAGGAGTGTGGTGTCAGCTCCCTTAACCACCCCACATTGTTCAATGGCCACCTCGACCCCCCAGGGGTGTTTGTGAGACTGGGATGGAGCGTGCACACCTGCTCCTCCACTGCTGCGTGAACACTCGTGGGAAGGGAGTCCTGCTAGAGGGAGCCATTCCCTCCTGGTCTCAGACCCTAAAACAGAGACCCCTGACTCTGCGTAAGGCAAGGGCATGGGAGCCTGGCCTGGCAACTGTCACTGTTCCCAAAAAAAACCAACACATGCTTCCCAACATATAATCTGATCATAGCATTTGATTTAAAAAACAAAGAAAAAGCAGACATCACCTGAGACCCAGACAGAGTCTACCCTTCCCGCCCCGGAGCCCACCCCTCCCCCGCCAGGTTCTTGTGCGGCAGACACAGAACCACGTTTACCTGAGCTCGGATTCTAGCCCTGCCACTCAGCTGAGCTTCAGTTCTCCCACAGTTAAAATGGGGGTGGGGGACGCATTCACTTTAGGGGTGGTTGTAAGGAGTAAGCCAGACCATATACACCATCAGTGGTAGGCCCTTGGAAACTGTGACTGAAGGAAAACAACATCTAATGAAGCCAATTTTATCATAGGCAAGTTGATATAAACCACAGTTAAGTTCCTGCAGTATCTCATCAACGTTATAACAAAACAGCATTGACTGAAACATTTTCTGATAGGACAGTGGTCCCTGCACACTAAGGGAGGCCATTACATAGACCGTGGAGGGACATTTTTAGTTTTATTTGTTTTGGCTTTAATCATACGTTTAAGTCCTCCGGCCCCCAAAGCCCTACTTTCTCTCTGCATCTCCATGCTGCTGGGTCTGCTCTCCAGCAGGAACCCTAGCTCCTGGGGACTGAGAGAGGTCACTGTCACTGCTACAACCCAGGGCGCCCATCCCAGGTAACTGAGCTGAGGAAGGCACAGGTAGAGCTGTGGAACCGGCCTGAGAAAGAAAGGCTTCAGAGAGAAAAAGAGGAGGAATGGAAATCATTAAGACTTACTCTGTGCCAGGCATGATGCCAAGTCATTTTCATGAACTTTCTCTTTCATTTCTTTCTCCCAACATTTCCATTATAACAGCCCCCTTTACAGACATGGACACTAACACGTAGGGAGTTTAAGTCCCTTTCTCAAAGACATCCAGCAAGCAAGTAGCAGAGCTGAGGACAGAGCTCAGCAGCTGACTAAAGGGCTCGCCCACTGAGGGGTCTCTGTTTCTCTGAGACAGAAAAACCCTTCCTCAGAAAATCTCGGGCTCCAGCCACAGGAGGCCCCGACACTGGGCTGCGATGGATGCCGTTTAACTGGAGCCACCTGGGGTCCCGCATCTGCACCTGGACCTGAGAGGCACTGGAGTGGGTAATAAATGGGCAAATCGTAGAAGTCTCCTCAGCCTCACAAAACCTGGAGGTGGGAGGGAGCGAGTCCTGCTTTGAAAGTAAGTATGCAAGAAACACTAGAAGGGGTAGCATCATTCCTCTTCCTACCTGACATACCTGGTTCTTAAAAATACTCTGTGCTTGAAACTGGTGCTGAAGAGAAAGAGCAGCCTTAAATTTGGGCCCAGAAGGTGGGGATGGGGCCTCCACCACAGATATTTGAGGTTATAAACTTGCTCTAGGCCAGAGGTTTCCAGTTTCACTGTGATGGGTCCACAGCCAGTTCCTGCACCTTGGGGCTGGTTTCTTCCCCCTCTGGGCTTCCAGTTCTGCATCTGAACAGTCGTTGGGGGTGGGTGTCAGACCTCTAAGGTTTACTCCACGAGCCCTGACATTTCATGATACTGCATCAGACAGAGGTCCTAAGAGCAGCCAGAGCATCATGGTCACTTGAGGGGGTCTTGAAGCCCATACGCACTCCCTGGGATAGTGGAGAGAACGGAGCAGGGTGTTTTCTCTATCACATGAATAGGTGGGTCTCCTCTCTGTAGTTGGCCATGGACTGGTGGTGGCAGCTCTCGTTAGGGCTGTGGATAGTCACACCCGTCTGGGCAGGGGACAAGCTGTTCAACGTCTGCATGAAGGCCAAGCACCACAAGCAGAACCCCAGCCCAGAAGACCAGCTTTATGAAGAGGTACAGAGGCCAGACCGGGTCTAGGGGTGGGAGGCAGGCTGCTTTGGCAGGTCAGGGAAGGGTCAAAGATGCCAGGATGATCTCTGAACCCTCATCAACCCTGACTCATTTGGTGTCTTAGGCTGGAATTTGGGCAAAACCAACATGGGAGGGACACTATGAAATTTTGAGACCGTAATTGCTGAGTGATTTCAAGTTCCTGTGCCTGAACTGCCCTGCCACTTGAGGAGCAGGGACAGATGGTGGCCCCAGAGGGCCATCATTGATTCAGTGTAGATTCAGACAAACACAGCCCTCTTCCTCTAGGCTTCCGACCAATAGGCCCTGTGGAAACACAGGATTTAAGTGACTCCTTCTTATGCTCCTGAGGGCAATTGACAGGGACATGGGAGGAGGAGCAGAGCTGGCGTCTGCCCGGCATTTCCTGAACCCTTCTACGCTACAGGCCCTCCCACTCAGTGCAACCCCTCAGTCCCCTGGGTGTCAGGGGGTTCCTCTGCTGCCCCTCAGAAGCTGAGACCCTGGAAGTCATGTTTCTAAGGGATGACAGCAGCCTGTGGCAGGGTTGTCAGTGTGCAGGTGCCCTTTGGTGTGAGCACTGCAAAATCATCAGCATTCCTTCTATACAGGGGGTGCTGGCCAGAGGCATTGCACTTGCCCAGGTCCTCTTCTATAGGACATTTGTTCCTTTCTACCATAAATACTTACCAACCCCTCTGCCTCTTACCCACACCGCCAGTCCCAATACTTTTTGCTTCTTCCTCTACCGTTAGTGCCTCCCCTGGAAGGACAACGCCTGCTGCACGGCCAACACAAGCTGGGAAGCCCACCTGGATGTGTCCCTGCTCTACGACTTCAGCCTTGTTCACTGCGGATTGATGATGCCCGACTGTCAGAAGCACTTCATCCAGGCCATCTGCTTCTATGAGTGCTCCCCAAACCTGGGGCCTTGGATCCAGCAGGTGGGAAGCCTGGGAAGGGCACACAGGAGGCACAACCGTGCCACACCCTGTGCCTAAGACCCCGAGTTCCAGGACACCAGCAGGAACAGGAAATGCTGCCCCTTAGGGACGAGAGCAATCAGGTGGCTGTTGGGAAAGGGGTGGAGAGGAAGCTCTCTTTGGAGGAAGACCCTGGCACGAGACCGAGACCGGTCAGTGGGAACAGTAGGAGGAGGGACTATTTGAATCCCATCTTCTCCATGCAGGAAGAGCAGCCGTGGAGCCTGGGACAAACCAACCTCTTAGCCTCTTTGTTCTCACTGGTAAAATAATCTTTAGAGACTTCATAAGAGAATATATCTGGTAGTACCTGGCACAATAGTGCCATTGTAGCTACTGACAGTCTTCATATCATGAGAATGCATTTCTTTTCTCTGGCTATGCATGGACCCAGGTGGCCCCAGGGCAACAGAGAGAGCGAATTTTGAACGCACCGCTATGCCGGGAGGACTGTGAGCAGTGGTGGGCAGACTGCCACACCTCCTACACTTGCCGATCCAACTGGCACAGTGGCTGGGACTGGAGTCAGGGTGAGTGGTACTTGAAAGAGCCCAGGGGAGAGCAGGGCGTTGGGGGGGGGTGCCCCACCTGGGGGCAGGTGCCAGCTTTCTATGCTCCCCCAAGACAAAGGATGGGGATGTGAGAATAGGAGGAGTGACAGGTAAATTTTCTGTGCCTTAATCCCCCACAGGGAAGAGCCACTGTCCTGCAAGGGCCCCCTGCCGTCCTTTCCCCCATTACTTCCCCACCCCAGCTGACTTGTGTGAGAAGATTTGGAGCAACTCCTTCAAGGCCAGCCCTGAGCATAGGAACAGTGGGCGGTGTCTGCAGAAGTGGTTCGAGCCTTCTCAGGGCAACCCCAATGTGGCCGTGGCCCGCCTCTTCGCTAGCCCTGCCCCACCCTGGGAACTCCCCTGTACTCTCATGGCCTTCTTTCTGCTCCTGCTATTTCTTTCCTGAAATCCGGTTCTTCTCCTGCCCACACTCGTGCACTCTGCCAGCTATGGGCCAGGCCTGGCCGTGGTAGCCTCCTCCTTTGGTCCCTTCCTGAGGCAGAGCAGCATAGGTGGGCCATGGAGGCTATAGGAGTGGGCGCCTGAGCCTTGCACCTTTAGTTCTAGAGCCCCTCCGCTGCTCAGCTCTGCCTTTCCCTACCTGGAAGGAGCCAGGGGTCCTGCCTTTAAGGCTGGAAGGCTGGAAGTGGGCCTCTGAGGTGGCACTCCAGGCCCTTCTCACGCAGTGAACACCCACCCTTCCAGGGCCGAGCTGCTGGTGACAACCCTGGGCTTCCCTCCCACGATGGTGCCTCCGCTACAGCAGCAGTTGAGCTCTCCTCTCTGTGTGACCTACTCGGCCCCAGCTCTGTGGTTGGGGTGTTAAGCTGCACAAAGAGCGGGTAGTTTGCCTTCTGCACTTAAGTCTCAAAGTTCATTGCTACTTACCCCATAATGATTTACTTCTATAATGTACCCCAGGCCCTCTCATTATAACCTTACACTTCTTGGGTGGGAGCACTTTCAACACACCCCCCTTTTTTTTTCAGTAAGTGATACACTGTACAAAAGACCTAAAACCAGGGTGAAGATGGGGCCACCCAGATCATCAGCTCTATTTTGGACACCAAGATTGAAGCAGCTGCCTCAATTGCTTTCTGTTTTCCCGGAATTTGGGAAGTCTGAGTTCTAATCCAGCTTTCCTACTTTCTGTAGGACTTTTGGCAAGTCATCTAAGCTTCATCTAAGAGTCTTTTGGCTTCCCTCTCTGCTGAGAGGAGTGAGGTAGTTGAACCAGATGATCTTAACTTACAACAAGGAAAAGGAAGGAGCCAGTGCCATTGTTTGTCGGGATACAGTGTGTGCTTCTCAGGCAGCAGCTTGTCCTGAAGAACAAGACAGAAGAGTCAGAGCCAAACTAGAGAAGGTGCCCTGAGGTGGCCTTGATGTCCTCTTGTAAGTGGACTGGCAGCTGACTGCCCACTCAGAACCTTCCAGAGCCTGAAGCCCAGTAGCTTCCCCACAGAGATGGTCCTTTTCCCTCAACTTTGTTTTGTTTGTTTTTGTTTTGTTTTGTTTGGACAAAGAAAGGCTCCTAATATTTCTGCACCTGAGTTAGTTGACTTTTCTAACAATAACTTGTTCTCGTCAGATTCCAGCAAGCCCTGCTCCTCATTTGAGCTCCGCCTCCATTCTTGCCACACTCACCTTGAACATGCTCCTTCCCTGAGCAAACCCTGTTACAGAGAGGGCACTCAAGTTCTAAAATGAACGAAAGGACAGCCTTTCCTAGTGGGTGCTCAGAGTCCAGAGCAGGGAACAGGCAGCGGCCATTCTCTGGAAGTCTGCAAGAATGAGGGTGGGGCATCCAGGAAGGCCTCGCAAAGGGAGTGAGGCATAAGCCCCACTGAAGAAGGGCCACTTCGTTGAGAACAGAAAGAAAATTCTAGACATGAACTTTAGGAAACAGGGTCTCTAATTGCTCTTAGTCAATAAATTGTGGCTTCAAAAACACATATAAGGTAGAATTTCTTAAGAACTGAGGATTATTATGAAATGTCTGACAGTGTGTACTTGGTAATAAAGGTAAGAGTTTAGTCACTTTTTTGGTATTCTTAGTTATAAATGTAAAAAATCACCAAAGTGGGGTTAAAATTGAGGAAAAATAAGACTAGTTCTGGGAGCCCTAATAACTCTTACTATTTCCTGGTCACTTACACTGTGCCTGGGCCTCCACTAAGCTCCTAACATGCTGATTTGAGCCTCACAAAAGCCTTGAGAGGTACTCTTGTACCCCTCCATTTTTCAAATTAGGACAGAAGCATATAGAGATTTGAAACCAAGTAAGTCTGACCCCACGATCCCAGTTCACAACAAACATCCTATGAAGTCACTGAGCGGAGCTGGCACAGACACAGGGAGTCGGGGGAGAGGGGGCTGGCTCAAGGCCGGTCATTGTCGGAAAAGAGAATGAGCTCTCTCCCCATGTGTAGTTGAGAGGAGTGATGGATTTGAAGTAATGGAATGAAACTATCAGACTTTCAGTTAAATTATTTTTTTTTTTAATCAGAGTGAGCCATGTACATGACTAAAATACTTATGTCAAAGGATCTGTAACAGCAACAAAACCCCCTTCAACCAACCCCAGAATATCAGGGCCCCTGCCCAGGGGCACCCACTTTTAACCATTTCTGGATTTAGCTACACAAGAGTTGCAAGAGGTGGCTTGTCTTTTCTGCCACACATTCAGGCTGAGTTTTTTCCCCCCTCTCTGTTCCATTAGAGTTTCTCAACTTAATCTTCCAATCTTTTTAATTTTGGCAATCCACTTTTAATTTCCAGGGGAACTTTTATTTTTTATTCCCTTGTTACTCTTCACAGCCTGCTGTTTTCAGTTTTATGGATGCAATATTTTCTCAAATCTCACTGAAGATCTAATTAGAATTTTTTTGTAAAAAAAAAAAAAAAAAAAAAAAAAAAAGCTTGTTTCTAGTCTCTGAATGACCTGCTTCCTCCAAGGTCAATCTGTTCTGTTTATCTTGATCCTCTATGTGCTGCTGGTTTTCTCTGAGTCTTGTGACCTTAGCCATGTGTCCATATTTAAGAGTGAGAGCTGAGTTGATTTTTCTACTCACCTGCTATGGTGGTCTTCCACAATTATATGCATGGGTCTTCTTTCCCCTGACTAGCAAAGCTGATGGGGAGTTGTGGGTGTATGTGGAGGGTTTGTTGACTAGAAGACTTTGCTTCAGAGTGCAGAAATAAATGAACACCAACCAAATGAGAACAAGCAAATGTTACCTATTCAGAGCTTCCCTAACAAGGGAGTCAGCCCCCATTACTTGTGTTTTGGCAGAAACTCAAAGGCAGGCAGAGCAGAAGGAAAGGTTTTTAATGTGAGGCTGTTGGCATGGGGAGCTGCAGGCTGACTAACCAGAAGTGGGGCATCCTACGTGACTGGTCAAAGGTGCATATTTGGCTTTCCCTTGTTGGTCCTCAGTTGGAAGCAGGGATTAAAAATGATGGAATCTGTCAGTTATTAATCAAGTCCTAGCTGTCTGGGGCTAATTGTTAGAAGCGCTATTGTTTGGCTCCCTGGGCTCATTGCCAGAGACAGTCGTCTAACTTCCTAAAAGTCTGACTTACAGATAGTAGGCTGCCTTTCTGAGCTGGTTACTGCAGATAATGGGGTAGAATTCTATTTGTATACACAATACATCTGGCCATTGTCCCCTTGTATACAGTCTCTCAAGATAGAGCTGGCAGACAGTATATTGGAGTGCAGACCTATCAAATGCTGGGGTAAGTGTGAATCTCTCTGGGATGCCAACACCATGTATTTCACCACGTGGGAAACTTCAGCACTAGCCAAAATTTAATTTCTTTAGAGAAGGCCTCTTCCAAGTTCTCCCTACCCCAGGGGTTAAAGATGGGTTGCCTGAGACCTCGATGTGGGCAGAGGACATGGGGGCAAGCAAGCGTAGGCTTCCTCTCTCTGCCCACGCCTGCTAACTCCAAGCCTCCTCCTCCTGCGGCCACCTCCTCCACTGCCTCTGGCCACCTCTGTTCCCTTTGGTGGCCTTTTATGTGCTTTCCATCTTCTAAATATTTGTTGAAACCTCTTGCTCACTGATGGTTTCCTTCACAATCTTTTAGTAAAGGAACACTTGGAAATAAACATTTCAGTGGGATCCCAGGTATTCAGTCTACCTTCTATAACCAGCAGCTGTAGATTTTTTAAAAGGTGTCACTGTTATGTAAAGATCAGATTAAAAGAGGGCCAAACTAATGACAGAGGCTGAGGACAATGTACAGAATAAATTTGCAGGAGGGGAATGAAATAGGAAGGCAGGTGACAGAAATCTGTGAGAAGTCCTCTAGGAGGAACAAAGTCGGGCCAAGGAGAGACAGCAGGCCAGAAAGGGGCAGATTCAGGAACTACTGGGAAAATAGAGCCCAAAGAAATTTGGACTATAATTTTGTATACAGTTCCACAAAATACAGTAAGTCCTCACTTAATGTCATCAATGGGCTCTTGGAAACTGACTTTAAGCAAAAGGATTGATAGCAAAAGAAGTTTCACCCTAGGCTATTTGACATAAATGAGTTAAGTTCCTAAGGCACATTCCTGGTCACAAAATCATCACCAAAATTCTCAATAAAGACCCAAAACCCTGCTAATATGAAACATTGAAATAAGTATGAGCTATGCACACAGTTAAGAAAGATTTATAAAAACCAGTAAGATTATTATTTGACAAACCTCCTTATTCTACTTCAGGGACAAGGATGGCCAGAGTCTATATGGCAGCTCAGGGTGAGAGGCGGGAACTCACCCTGGACAGGACACCCTTCCATCACAGGGCCACTCACACACCCACACTCACTCCCTCAGACTAGGATGATTTAGACACGTTGATTCACCTAACAGACACATATTTGGGAGGTGGGAGGAAACCACAGTCCTAGAAGAAACCCATGCGGACAGTGGCCCTGGTGTGAATCAATTTTTTTCCTCAACATTATAACAAAATGTTGAACAAAACAACATTATTTGAAGACCTGCTGTAAGATAAAATGTGGGGGGAGAGAACTGTCACAAAGGAAACAATAACCTTGGATACCTTAGTTCTGAAGCTTCATTTGGAAGAGGTACTTTCTCCAGCGTACATTGTACCAGGATGGTTGGCAGGGGAGATGGCGAAGGGCATCCCTTCTGCTGGGTGCAGCCCAGTCATGTTTCCACTACAGAAACATCAACCCTGTTCAAGTCCTTCCTCAGACAATGCTGGGCAGTCCTGGATAGCAGGTGAAAAAGAAAAACAAAATGGCCTGCCTTTGTTTTAAGAACGCTTTCTGAGTCACTTTCTTCAGTAAGACCCTAATGTGAGGGCAGAAGCTGCTACAGCCTGACCCTTACACACTGGGATCTTGTTCCCAAACTATCTCTGCTGCCCAAAAAAGGAG